ACTGCGAAATGATGGTTGTTTTATCTGCCTCTTGGCTTTCTACCATAATTAATCAAGTGAAACAACCCAAATCCTTGGTTGCCACAGTCCAGTGCCCTGTGTATGCTTGATCACATTACATTCAGTGTGTAATATTTATGAGGATGTATTGGCAGATATTGAATATAATATTCACAAGTGAATTTTCATTGGCGTATAAACACCTGAAAATAAGAATCGTGTGTTTTTCGTTGAAATGAATGAGCTGTTCCTACTACGAAGGCCGCTATGTTGAACCTACTGTGGCCCAGATTGGACAAACCAAACACCAGCTTCAGATAGGGTCTTTCATGTGTTTGAGCTGTTTTCAGGTGGTTGCAACGTCACTGCTGGATGCTACTAAACCCTACACACCGGCCATTAGAGTAAAAGTTTAAGAGAACCAGGGGTCAAAGTGTTTATCTGTGGAATCCGAGGAATGATCACAAAATGGTAGAGAAACACAAAGTGGAGAACCACCTCTCTCCCGTGTGTGTGTGTGTGTGTGTGTGTGTGTGTGTGTGTGCAGAGACACAAGCAGCAGTATTTTAAAGACAGCGTGCAGAGAACGGTGTTATGTAAAAGCTCATAAACCTCCAACAGAGGTGGTGGAATGATGGGTTTTTCAACCAGACGACCCCCCCACCACCATCTGTCCACAATTACCATAATGCAGGCACTTAGATACAAATTTCAACAGCAATTTGTCTTTCCAATGTTCAATGTTTTGTGTATTATCCAGAGTTACCTGGACAGTGTTTGTGGTAAGAAATGTTTCTGTTTAATTTTTTTAATGTAAGTGAAATGCACTCTACTGTATTGCTCTGGCAGCTACACAACCTGGGTACATAAACCCAAATTACTTGTATGGCTAGATACTACTAGTAGTGGGAGAGAAATTTTTTTTTTAATTAATTCATTATTTTAGTCTTTTTTTATATATATAAGAAACTGGTTCTTGATATATATATATAGGTTGGAACCTCTTTCAGCACTGAATCATTTGCCTGAGATATTGAGTGATGAAGAATGTAATCACTACCTCTCGGAAAATATCTGGAGAATCCGGACAGCTTTCTTGTAAAGACAGCTGGCACGCTGCTTTGTTACAGTAGTTTCTAAAAATATGTAAGTGCTGATTGGAAAAGTGATTAAGTCTTTATAAATAACATACAGTTGTAATCCTGTTTCCCTCTGTTGCAGTCAGGCCGTGTTGGTTTCAGTCATAAATCTGAGTGCGGTGGCACGAGTGAGGTCAGCGACTACAAAAATAAAGGGGAGCACGTCACATCTGTCTCCTTCCAATCTCAGAGAGTGGCCGAGACTCCTCTTCTGCATCGACTTTTCCATTGATTTCTGGGATAAAACTGAATGAGTGCCGGGTGGGAGGACAATTATGCAAAAGGGGAAGTGGGAGTGGACAGACTGGGCTGTGCATTTGCTCTGTTAGTGGTCGCTAAAAAGGTTGGCAAAACACTGGACACAGATACGATCTAAACAATGAGCTTCCAGTTAGGGCTTCCCTTACACAGAAACGTTTATTTTTTTTACGAATGCTTCAGTGAGGTGATATAATCCCAACTGATACTGGATGTTTGAGGCAAAGGCTGATACTGACAAGAGATAAGAGTAACAGAAAGTCTGATATATAGAGATATAGAGGCCGATATTCATCGTTTTTATTCAATTAAATTATGGTAATTACAGTAAAGGACAGGTTTACATTTTTGACTCAATACTCAATTTCCCACATGGCAATGGGTTTTTGGTTTTTTGGCTTTAATTGTCCATACTGGCTCTGCAGTTATCCCTTTTTTATTAATATCCCAATGTAAGAGATTTAAAGTGATATAAAGAATACATGGAAATATATTTACAAAAAAAACATATTAAACATTGTTTTTAAATTTAGTAAAAATACATCAAAATTCAGCCTACAAAACACTGCTTTTTTTATGGATATCTGCAAACATACAGTATACCGTACATGCCAAAACTAGTTTGTAATTTGTAATGAGCCAGTATCAGCTGGTAGAAATGTCTTATTTTCCCATGTATAATTGATAACAGCAACAAAATAAATAAATGAGAAAAAAGTCAGCTGCACTAGTGAAATCCAAAAGAGAGTGATAAGTGGAAAACAGTCACCGGAGTAAATGCTTAACGACTGTGTGCTGCTCTTCTACCAGGTTAGCAGCAGGGGGCAGCAGAGCCCCAACTGTTTGTGAACCACACAGCTTATTTTACATCCCGAATATCCATTTAGCTGCAGTCAGCCTTGACCCAGTGTTAGAGAAACACCCAGAATTCTGTTGGTACAGCACTAAACTCTGCAGGGAAAACAGGTGTGAGCAGGTCACACCTGCTGAGGATGACCTTGTTCTTGTAGAAAACTCTTTTCTCGATACTTCATACCGCCTATATTTGAATTACTGAACGGTTCATTGATGGTGACAAAACATCTTTTCACTGTGGAGCTGATATTGACCTGATGGGACAAATTTTTTTGCTTGAATGTTCATGTGATTTTGTGCACCAGGTCAGACCTAAGAACCGTTTTACAATCTCAGAGGTCTGAGATTTTACACTCCAGCTGCCTCGTGCCTCGGCTCTTCTTCCATTTTTGCTTTTGAGTCAACGTAACTGGGGACTCCAGACTTTGGTTCCAAAATAAAAAATCCATCACTGGAAAATCTCCTCTTCCTAACCGATTCCATGGGAGTGAAACTCGTGTGGAACCCTGAATAACATTTGCTGTTGGCTGAACTGAAGCTTTTGCATTAAGATTTTGACATAGTGGGAAAATCTGAGTTATTACCGTAACCTTGCTTCCTCCAAATTGCATGTGGTGTTCAGGATAACTTGTGGCAACTCGGGAAAGCCGCTTTAAGTGTCTGGGGATCACTGTCCAAAAGCCGAACAGGAGTTTGCACAACCAAATCTCTGAAAACCATCTCACTAACATCTGCTCATAGCTCCAGCCTAATAAAAAACTCAAGAATGCTGCTAGTCTGTGTGCTTTACTGCTTATGGGGCTACTTCACTTTTTCCATATGCTGCAGCAGCAGCGTGGACGATCTGGCAGCGTGGGACCCTCACAGTTCAGCTTCCAACAGATTTTGTCTCCGCTCCAAATGTATAAATGCATGTGTCCAGCTGAAACTGTGCTACACTCTACAGACTATGCAGAGTGGCTCATGCAATTAGGAGCCGGCTAGCAGGCCTTTTGTGCCTCTGAGCGGCGCCTGTTATTTGTGGTGCAGAATCTGTTTCAGACTGCAGCTTGGGATCCATCTGCCTCGGATTTGCCACGTATTTCCAGAGCAGGAGACTGGCTCACCGGAGCGTTTCTCATGGCGATGTGAAATAGTGTGAGAGAGCTGCTCTGTGCGACTGTGTGTGTATATGTGTGTGTGTGTGTGTGTGCGTGTGTGCGCGTGTGCACAGGCAGCACAATGTCACCTTGACTACAATCTACAGGAGGCAATGAGGGCGCACCGCATCTGTACGGCACTGGACAGAGGAGGAGAGAGGGAGTAGAAGGTATTTGCGTGTCTCTCTGAGTGTGTGTGAGAATATGCCAAATGTGTGAGTGTGAGTGTGTGTGTGTGTGCGTGTGTGTGTGTGTGTGAGAGGGAGAGAGAAAGACTGAGGCGGGTATAGCTCTCTCAGACAGCTCACAGTGCTGGAGGATCCCTCTTCAGATCCAGGCGGAGCGACGCAGAGATGTCAGACGCAGCACACACAGGTGGGTCACACAGCAGCTATGGGGACAGGTGAGACAGGCCGGGGGCTCAGTTTCATGCCTCCTGTATTATAGGGCTGTTTTCAGTGTCATAAATGCATTGTGGTCATGTCAAAACTACCAAACCTGTCAAATTTGGTTATATTTTTTGCTGCAGGTAGATGGTGGTCAGGCCTGTAGTCTGACCTGAGGGTCATCAGGGTTTGTGAGGTGTTTTGGAAACAAAAATGTGTCAAATTGAACGATTGTGTGGATCACAATGACGGAAAAAAAACACAGATAGAAACAAAAAAAAATGTATTAGATTTCTAAGAAAATACTGCTAATTTGTGCCTTTTTTTCCCCCCACTTTAATAAAGAAAACACCCTCCTTAAACTCTCACCAGTTTCATTCACTTGCTGATTTGTGATATTTAAATTGGAGCCTGAAAGCCGGACGAGCTCTCCTCCTGCAGAGCTCCAGGTGTGTTTGAGGCTCCCTGGGCCTGCTGACAGGCAGCGCTACAGACCTTCAAACAGCCGCAGCGGGACCTTCAGGCTCCCGTTCAACCATAATTGCATTTGCCGCGGCTGTAACGGAGCAAGAACCCGCCGCCGCATCCTTTCCTCTCCGTCATGTGACTCCACCGGACGAATATGTCTGTGTCCTTTTCGTTTTGCCGGAGAAATGCAGCCTCGGCCAATCGCGTGTCTACGGAGGCGTCTCTCTCCTTCTCGGTTTCTTGCTTTCTCTCTCATGATGCCTTCAGGTGACGTCGTAAATAAGGAACTCGCGAGCTGGCTACAGCATGGCAAGGCCGGGATTTTAGTTTGAACTGAGCCTGAAATGTTTATTTGACGGAGCCTCGGTAAGTCAGCATGCTATCTCTTTTTATTTGCAACCTGCAGAGGGTTGGGGGCATGAGATAAAGACCCCTGCTGTGATGATAATGTAGGTCAATCTAATAGCATGCTTTTTATATTTTTTCCTCACTACAGTGCCTCTGGGCCTAGTTTGAGCCTGTAAGAGAACAAGAAACCTCCTAAACCTTTTATCCTTTATTTTCTTATTAAAAATAAAACACTTAAACACACACACACACACACACCTTAAATCGCACTTCAAATATTGGGAAAACACACAAGTTTCCGGGATGTCCCTGAATGCACCGCGGGGCCCTGTGACGTCACCGCTCCCCTGCGCTCCCTCCAGCAGCCAGTCAGAGAAGGGATGCTCTGAACGCAAGACTGCAGCATCTTCACCGAGAGAACGAGCAGGAAAAAACGTCTCTTTCTCTGCGTGTTCCTCCAGCTCCTCGTCTCCGGACTCTCCTCAAACACCCCGCCGCCCCTGGGTGTCTTCATGATCGGAGCCAGGACAGGATAAAGAAGAAAGAAATCCTTATAGCCTACCAGTAACGCATCGGATTTTTTTTTTTTGTATTGTTATTGCTTCACTGACCTCTCCTTTCTTTCTTCTTCCTTCGGTTGATTTCGCCTCTTTGGTCTTTCGGTTGTTTTTTTTTTTTTTTTTTGTTTTGTTTTTGTTTTTCTTTTATTTATTGCTCGCTGGCTGTTGCAGAGGAGCGCCACCATCCTGCACTGCCTGACATGAGTACGCTCTTTTATCCAGTTGCAGCGGAATGACACACATATCCTAGCCCGCTTATCAGAAGGTTGATGGAAGATTGACGCTCTATTTGCACGTTTTTTAGTAGCCTAGATCTCTCTCCATCTGCAGAGGTTTTGGATTTTTTCCCCCCTCTGAGCCGATCATCCGCCGCTCCAGCGTTTCTTTTCTTTCTCCCTGCGCAGCATCTCTGTACGCACGGCGCACCACGGAGAAACGCGCAGCTAACCTTCCCCGTCCGTAAGAAACAAGCGTATTTTTCCAATTCCTAAATCGCTTTCGCCTTCTCTAAGGACTCATCTGCACGGCTACGCTGCGTTAAAAAAAAAAAAACAACGGGAAAAGGGGGGATTTAAACGCAAACGCAGCCCAAGCATCCAAGAGCAAGCTCGAAAATGATGGCCGGCGGAGCTGTACAGCAAAACGGGATTTTCTCAAATCCTCATCATCACAATCAACAACCACACATGGAGTCCGATCCCCCGGACTCGCGTAAAAGACCCCTGGAGACTCCGACGGAGGCCAGCAGCACCAAACGCACAAACACGGGAGGTAAGAGCAGCGATGGGGATGCGGGGAGCTGTTTCGGGTTTCGGTGAATGTTCGTCCTGAGGCAGGCAGAGAGAAAGGAGAGCAGGTTGATCTGATTCTTGACGTACACAGCGGCATGCTACAGCCCCAGATTCATAGATTTGTGCTCCAGTTACGCAGTGAAATAAATACAGAGGGCACTATTTTTTTTTTAATCCGCCTTCTAATGAGCGACAGTCATTTCCCATCAGCATTAAAATAACCATGGGCGCCGCTTTTGATGGAAAGGAAACAATGAGAGGGACTGAGGGGGGATTTGGAGGGAAGCCTCCGGTTCCCCTCGCGCACATCCCGACTGGTTTAGCCTCCTTAGATCAGCCGAATTGGGTGTTTTTATTGCGTCTTAAGATTTACGCGCAGCCACAGCGGCCATGCTGGAGCCAAAAAAAAAAGGATGTAAACAAGTGAAAGCCAGATCAGGCTGGTGCGTGATCGCAGGCTCTCATCCCGTCGACGGATGACCTTGTGATAATCTCACACATCAGCCACCATCGCCGCTTTGTGTACAATTACACAAGCAGATAAACAAGCGGACTCACATTAACAGCAGGCCTGTGGCGAGCCAGAAAGAACAAGGGGAATCCAGAGCGGCTCAGAATGCGACAGGGTCTCTGTGTTATTGCACCATGTCAGTGCCTGTATATTTTTTACCATGCTTTGCTGTCCTGATTTTAACAAGCTGCAGTTAGGAGGGAGAGATTTTTTTCCCTCTAAATTGTCCAATCGTGTTTCTTCATTATTCTCTGGTTGGATGAAATATGGATATGTTACCATGGCGATCACCATATTTGGTTTTTGTTTACATGCTGTCATGCGCCAAGCATTCCCATCACCCGGCATTACAACCATCAGTAGCCTATCCTGGCCATGCACCCCATCATGGACATTTGGACATACACTACACTTCTAAATGTGTTATTTACACAACAAAGAAGAGTGGAGAATTTCTATGTGCGGTTAAAGATTTGGAGTGCACAAGACTCCTTTAGAAATGTTCTATGTAGAATTGGTAGATTTTAGGCGACCCAACATTTTAGTGCAGACTGTTAAATCTGACTGTCACTGTGAATGTTTAATAATATTGTGGATGCCTGTTTCTTAAGGAGAGAAATAAGTATTTGCGTAAGAAAAACTGAGAAAAAGATTATATATAAGTGGCAGAGATAGAGAGCCAATCCATAAAGTTAAAAAAGAAAATTAAAAAGACATTTTACACCTTTAATTTTAAGATTAAACTATTGTTCTTTGAATGAAATTTCATGCAGCTGTTTACATTTTACTATGAATTATAAATACAATCTGAGAGTCATTTAAAAAAAGTAAATGAATGAATAAAATATGCAAAGAAAAAATGATTCCACTGCAGGTTTGATCAGAGAGGAACCTCCATCATATTGGAGACATGACTGCGTGACATCTGATGCTCTACTGAGGTGTCATTATTGGCCTGATTTATCAGTCTCACACTGAAATGGCCACAAGACTTCACTCACAAAGCTCTTTGGATGATCTGCTAATTTAGTGCAAGTAGGTGTGACGGTTACAGTAATGTTTTAAAAACATAAAATCTAAATCGACCTGTGGAGTTTGCGTGCCCTGTCCCTTTCAGTGCACAATGACAGGTGGCACAGTTTAAAAAAAATAACTAGTCTTTAGTGCAATCCATAGAGGGTCCTGAGGATCAATAGGTTTTTATCTTTTAGTAGATTTTTGTGTGACCTGAATCTTTCCTTTTCTCTGCAATGACAGAAAAAGAACAGGACAGTCATTTTTAACAGTTTCTTCAGCTCCCACCAGGAGACATGACAGCTGTCCTCAGGAGTAATAATTAGACAGAGAGAGTGTCCGGCTGAGGAGGGTGAGCTGCAGGTTAGCGAGCGCTGTTTAACTGCGGATCAATATAGCACTCGGGGCACTAAAGGCCCCTCCACGCTGTATGTAAAAACCCAAGGCTCCCCCCCAGGGGACCATCCTCCTGCCTGCATAACAGTCAGACAGCTCGTCCATTTAGACAAATGAAAAGGTTGGGATGATGAGCACGGCCGACCAGGCTTTTACTCAGGGAGAGAGGACGGCCGCCGTGCCGGCAAGTCAACGCTCCCTCAGCCGCCGGCATCAGGCTGATGATCGGATGACATTTGGTTGAAAATGAACAAGTCGCTCTCACACACACTTCACTCCAGCCCCTTAAGATAAACAACAAAGAGGAATCAGAGCTTGGTTGCAAGTCTTTTGGGACATTTTTGCACTGACAATCAATTCAGTTCTGTTTTTTAAAAGTGTCTTTTTGTTCCAATAACATGGTCAAAGAATTTGGTCTTGATGATCACTATTATGACTATTTAGAGCTTGAATTGATCAGATGAGCTTGACCTCAATGATTCTTTTATTTTACTAATAATAAGATGCAGAAACTGTTTATGGTCCTGGCCCCTTGATGCAGAAGAAAACATTCACCTTGTGGTGGCTGATTTTACCCAAAGTGCTTTTTTAACAGAAGCCGTATATTTTCACTGAGACTGTTTTTGTATTTATATTTTAAAGCTGCACACAGGCTGCAGTTTTAAAGTTATACAAGTCAAAGTGCTGCTAAGAGATCATAATACTGGTTGTTTCTCTGAATGATTAGTTTACGCCACACACTCCCCACCCCTGTGCTTCCTCTCTCTGTAGTGGCCTTCCTGCAGCCCCTATTTGAAACTGAAGGCATTGTATTCCCTCACCAAGAAACTGAGACTCATGGTAAGAGAGACTTTGATTTTGATCTTCTTCCTGTTTTATAATCTTTACTGTAACCTTCTTCAATGCAGGACTGATTCAGCAGTGACAACACGTACATGTTGTGTTCTCTAAATTCTGCAGAGTGAAATCTAAACTTTAGGGCTTTTCAATGAGGTCTGACTGCTGCAGGGCCTGACATTTAAATAGGATTTAAAGTAACATGTAACACCCTCATATTCTACTCATGATCCAGGATAATGCATGCTGATATTGTTTATACTGTATGTTATCAATTCCATAACATCCATTTTCATGCTTTTTATACAAATTCAGTGTTTCTTTTGTCATGATACCCAACATTACTGCACAGATTGAGTCCTGATGACCTTTGACCTCATGCTAGCCATATCATCCAAGCATTTGGGTTTATGCCTGCTGATGTGTTGTTGAAATGTTCATTCACTGATTGTGCTCAAGGTGTGATATATGATGGCTACAGTATGCACTGCTGTTGAGTAAAAATCACATGACTGTAGTGATGAATGTTTTTGCTTTTTCACAGGTAGATTGAAACTTAATGTGTAGAGCTCGAAAAGAAAGACAAAAGCTTTTAAATCACTTCATCATGGCAGAAATGATACTAATAATAAAGGTCATGTTTTTTTACCCAACAACTGCAGCTTAGAAATATATCCAGATGTAAGGTATAATGCAAAGTGTTTCAGATCTGTGTGAATGAGAAGCGAGAGGAGACTATTTATTTCAAAGAAGACGAGAAAAGATCGGCTCAGATTTTTACACTGAGTTTCCAGTTGGTTTGTGTGTGTGTGTGTGTGTGTGTGGGGTGTCTGTCTGTCTGTATGTGTGTGTGTGTGTGTGTGTGTGTGTGTGTGTGTGGAAAACGGGAGGCGACATTAAGAGAGGAAAAAGCCGGTCAGCTGTCAGACAGTAGGAAACGGGACGATATGAGACCCCTGTAACCCAGAGGGTCATAAATCACAGCTCCATCTTATAAAAAGCTGAAGGTCTTAAAGAAGAAAAGATCAATGAGTAGCTGCAGTAGCTGCTGTTGGCAGCCCCCCCACCCCCACCAGCCCTCTAATCCAACCCAAACCCATTCTTATCGCTGCACCCCCTCCTGCCCCTCACCCAGACCCAGCAGGGTTCGTCTCCACATTAAAGGAATTCAGAATTCCCTCTAATCATGTACATATATGATCAGAGATGTTTAATGAGGTCATTGTTAATATTTGATTTACTTTCAGAAGTTTAAACTTGGATCATTTTCAAAGCCAGACTTGATCTTGATTGGCTAAATGAGTAAAACTCTTCCAGTGATATAACTGCCGCTGTCGGCCAGTCAGGGTTCAGTGTTTTTACGATGTAGCCTTTTTTAAATTTTAAATGAGAAATAAGCATATTTGAAAATAAAATAAGAAAATCTGTATAGCATGAAGCCTTCAGGAGAGTTTTTACAGCAACAGCGCTGATGTTGAGTTAAATGCTTTTACAGTATCAAGTGGTCAGAATGATTCAGGATATGAGGACATCCAAGGCTACTGAGCATCAAGACATTAAATCACCTTGAATATTTTACTAAATTACTTTATTTGCCAAGAACAATACATTTACAAAATAAAAAGTACCATAGGGGGTTATGTGCAGAGATGCATCAACAGTTGAAATAGAGTTACACTATTTATTGCAATTGCAATATTTTCTAATTATAATTTGGGTCAGTTTTAGCATTTTTAAGCCCCAAAATGATAAGAATTCACTTCTGTTGTGTTTTTCTCTTCTTGGTGGAAAACAAACAGCACCCAGACCACGCGAAGCTAGAACTCTCCACTGACACTACTGATATTTGTTTGGGGTACCACATATAACCAATACTGATACTCAAATGCCTAACAGCAGCCTTTCAGCCTAATAGCAATGACTCAGATTCAGTCCATTCAAAACAAATGCAGCTTTCAGGGAAAAAACTGCTTGTATAAGCCATTAAGAAGTCTTATGTAAGCGCAAACAAAATAAATTGGATGTTGTGTTTTTTCCGATTTTCATGTAGGTGGTCAGAAAATGAACATGTGAGGTTTAACAGTCAGGGGAAGGTTTGCTGACATGGACGTACAGACCTTTCAGTCCTTTCATCACTTTTTATGATCTTTTCTTTTCTTTTCTTTTCTTGTCTCCTCTCCTCTCCTGTCTGTAAGATATAATACATTAATTTAGTAAATGGATGAACTGGCAAGCCAGTCTTGTGGAGGAGGAGGGGGGCCTTGCAATGCCCTTGCCAAGTGACATTAGGGGACTAGCAGTAGGCCGGAAGATTTCAGTGTGTGTGTGTGTGTGTGTGTGTGTGCTGAGTAGTTGTCTTTGTGTTTTTCTGTCTGACTTTAGTTGTAAAAAGCAGAGCTGAAGTTTAATGAGAGAGATGGAGAGGTGTGTAAATGATGTATTGTGCTGCGGATTGACGCACACGCACGTGCACACTCAACATACGCACGCACGCGCACACACACACACACACACACACACACACACACACACACACATGCATGCTGGGTATTGAGCCTTGGCGGAATGAGACAGAGCCTTTGATGCTATTGATCCGAGTGTTTTCTGTTGCTCCTGGAGCTGAGCGGAGCATCTTTTTTTGGGTCGTCCATACAAAGGAGAGCTGTCTTCCTCACATTGATTGGCTGTCCCGGCTGAGGAGGAAGAAGCCCCACATTTGGCTTTGAACACTCAAATATAGACACCAGGCAAAGGGGGTTCAGTCCTACATACCACTAACACTGCAACAGCCAGAATACATGGAAATAAGTAGATTTGTTGAGTGAAATAATAAGTTATTAGAACTGTTGCGATGTTGTATTTCTCGTACGTTGAGTATTCGAATGTCGAGCAGTATTTCTAGAAAAAACAAAGTGAGTTATACGGCTCACACTCGTGCTTTATCCTCGGTATCTTGTAGAACACGGCGTTCTCCTCTGCGACACGCCTGTTTTGTTCACTCGCGATGCCTGAGCGTTTCTCGGCTGCTCCCTCTCTTCCCCTTCCATTCTCTCCATCTTCCTCTCCTCCCCATCCATACTAATCATGCTCTACTTCAGACCATCACGACTGCGCCCTCCTCTTGTCCTCCTTCACCCTTGTCCTCCCATCATTTCGTCCTCCACCCACCCCCTTCATCAATCGCAGGCTGCCATTGACGACGCTCGCTCGGCAACCGTTTCCGAGGCTGTCGATCGATTCGCAGCCGCCGTCGGCAGCACTCTGCCAGTGGTAGCTGCAACTCTCCTTCTCCTCCTCCACCCTCTCCTCTTACTCTTTTTTTTTTCTAGCCACTGCGTCAAAGTAAAAAAAAAAAAAAAAATTGTACAGGGTGGGGTGAAGGGGATGAGAGGTGGAAATATTCCCACAAAGGGAGGCGTGCGATTGGTGGAGCGAGACGCCGGTCACAGCTAGCTGGTCGCTGATAGGTGAGGAGAGCGGGGCGGTGATGAATATGGATAAGGGAGCGATGAAAGGGCCGATGCAGCGAGGACGACTGGAAGGGCCCCCTCCTCTGAAGTAGCCTTGGTCCATGAACAATACACACCGGTTTTCTCACACACACACACACACACACACACACACACACACACACACACACAGTGGAGGGAGAGAAAGGAGGCGACTGCTTCAGTTATCTTTGTTAGCGTAGCCACCGTGTCTGCTTCGATTTCTACGCCGATGCCCTGATGATAGGGATCGTTTCAGTATGGAGGCATTTGATTGGCTCTCCCTAAACCTCTATTCAAACTGAGTTTCTGTAGCAGGATGTTGTTGAAGCCGATTACTCTGTCGGGTTTCGATTTATGATAAATAGAGGGAGTCTTTTCTATTCTATTCCACATTCCTGCAATTTTTAGGCGACCCGATCTCTAAACTTTAGTTTTTTCACCATCGTGTTTTAGGATTCCATAATTTATGTGGATTTTAATAGCAGGAACCACTTATTATTTTTCTTTATAAAGCGCTGAGTGTCATTTTAATATTCAAATGTCCTCCATTTTAAAAACAGCCTCTCTGAGAAGATGATTGCTGGCATGAAAACAAAACACAGTATTAGATGCGGCTGGTGTTATGAGTCATCTTGGTACCTTTGAAAGGAGAAAAGCTCTTTCTCAAGAACACACTCATCTGTGATTTGGCAATACTTACTTCAATATTTAGATGAAAAAAACCTTTCAAAATGTAGATATGAAGCATTTAGGAATTAAATGCTTGAAGCAGGTGATTGCACTGTACCTGTATCTATGAATTAGATTGAAAAACAAACTCCTTTTCTCATTTCTTCCCCAGATATTTGATTATTTAAAGGGTCACAAAAATGTTAAGGGCCTTATGGCGACTGGCAGCTTCTGAATCTAATGATTAAGAAATCGGAGCTCCTTCTGCACAAAGAAAATCTCCGCCTAAAATGTCAAATCTAAATTAGATGAATTACGTGGGAAAAGTGAAACACGCAGACGCTGGAGAGGCAGAGAAGAGAAGTTAGACATATTTCCTCCTGCTCATCTTCCTCTGCAAGCTCTCGGTGTTTATGAGCGACGGCGGCCATCTTTCAGACCGAAGACAGCTGGTCAGAGCCTCACTGCTGGAAAGCTTTACATGTTTGTGTGTGTGTGTGTGTGTGTGTGTGTGTGTGTGTGTGTGTGTGTGTGTGTGTGTGTGTGTGTGTGAATGCTACCTCCCAACAAAAGAGCAGAGGACTGGAGGGGGTGTGTTAGACAAAGCCTGCCCCCCCTTAACTCTCCCTGCTTAGGGGAGATGAATATTTTCCAAGTCCCCAGAGGTCAGAGCCTCTACACCAGAGCCCCCCTTACTTAGCTGAGGCCATGTTCACACTGCACTTTTGGGACTTGATGTTTCAACACAAAGCTGCACAAAATTCCAGTCTGGTCTACATTCATTTATAATGGCAGACTGTGATTGTTTTGGGATTCGATTACTGATGGCCTATATTTAGAACT